CTAAGGTCTCCCTAGAGCCTTCTCTTCTCCAGGCTGAACACCCCAACTCTCCCAGCCTGGCTCCAGAGCAGAGCTGCTCCAGCCCTGGGATCATCTTCACAAGGTTTACTGGGGATAAGGGACATGATTTAATGGTGGCCTTGGCAGGGCTGGGTTAATGGTTGGGCTCAATGATCTTCAAGGTCTTCTCCAACCACAATGATCCTATGAAAGAGCAGAGCCACAGGGAACCCCAGCTCCTCCCAGCCCCAGTGCCAACACCACCCCCTGGACTTGGGCAGTGGTGGCTCCATGGGCTCTGGGGTTTCTTTCCTCTTTCAAATCATCAAAACTCACAACCAGCAAAAACGAAGTGACCCCTGATAAACCAACGTGCACGTTCATTAATTCACTGCATCTTCTTTTCCAATTAACCCTTTATTAGAGCTTTTATTTCCCTTTCTCACCAATTCCTTACCAGGCAGAGCATTGTTTACCACGTGGGTGTTTCGTCTCAAATTCAACAACTGGATCAGCTTTCTCATTAAGCACAATTATTTTTGGCTCCCGTGCTGGGAGGTTTGGCCTGTCTGGTTTGCAGCCACGAGGAGCTGGGTTGGTGCCCAGGCCGTGGGTGCAGAGCCTGCAGAATCAGGTCCTCCCAGTGGGGCAACCTGCTCACGATGGAAGGCTCCAAATGGCTTCGTGTGCTTCATGTCCTTGGCCCACCATGACAGCCCTCAGCACCTCCCTCCTGTGGGGCTGAAAGACTCAGAAAAGTCCTCCAAGACTCATCCTGATGGACCCTGTGTCTCGTTTAGATGCTCCTCAGAGCAGGTTAAACCCACCTTCCTTGTTGATGTTCCTCAGGACGCTGCTGGGTCAGCTCTTTTCGCCCCATTTACCCGTTTCTTTGCACTTGGAATTCCCTCCATTCCAGCTCCCAAGGCCCGGCTGGAGCGGGCAGGTCTTGGGGACACGGGCAGGTCCCTGGGACACGGGCAGGTCCCTGGGACACGGGCAGGTCTTGGGGACACGGGCAGGTCTTGGGGACACGGGCAGGTCCCTGGGACACGGGCAGGTCTTGGGGACACGGGCAGGTCTTGGGGACACGGGCAGGTCCCTGGGACACGGGCAGGTCCCTGGGACACGGGCAGGTCCCTGGGACACGGGCAGGTCTTGGGGACACGGGCAGGTCTTGGGGACACGGGCAGGTCCCCGGGACACGGGCAGGGCCTGGGGCCACGGGCGGGG